ATAAAGCTCCAGACACCGAAGTGTAAAAGCTAAATCTCTGAAAGTTTAATGTAAGACAAGAACTATTATAAAGAACTCAATAGGCGTTACTAGGCCAAAATGACCAATGAAATATTATGCTCTTATCAAAGTAGATAAAAACTACAAATGGCTGATGAGTACCGTATAAGGTGATTCCGTTTACTGAAAAACAGAAACTAGACACAGGAAATGAGAGAGAAGTTACAAGTGAAACTCAAAACCGAAACTAACTGTTTCAAAAATGGAGGTGGATGCCAGTTAAAAAAAAACACAGAAGACAAAATGTTCCATATGTAACAAGTTTTTTGTGACAGGTTCTCTTTAATAAGACCTCATGTCTTAACTGCCTTCCACTGAAGCTAATGAAGCGCAGATTCCAGGTTCTTTGGGGCTAGGGGAGACTAGCAAATGGATATTCACTGGTCTCCCTTCCAAACACTCAATGGCATCTACCATGTGGGTCCCAGGCCCACAGGTGGGACAGTGGAGCCCAGGAAGCATTGTAGTTGGGGGTCACACAGGGGAGGTTACGGAAAGCAATTGGATGACTGTACAGCTTTCGGATCACCTTCATCAGAAAGCCGATAGTCAGCTCGAGAAATGTACAGTGTAGCTGTACCAGCTGGAAGTGCGTGTAACCTCCCAACACCCTCTCACCTTTTTCCTAAACTGGCCCATGCAGCCTAGGGCCCCAGTAGTTTTAAATGCATGGTGCTAATTGTAGAAATATTGTTTAATACAACTGTCATACCTGTGGGTATTTTATGTCACCCCTGAAGCATGGCCAAAATACTCCCAATGTGTACATTACGATTGTCCTGTCCTGGCTAATTCCCTCCCCCCCAATTATTTCATAGCTCTCCTCCTTATCACTAAGGTTTTCCCTTAAAGTAATTGTATAGTTACATTTTTTTTCTCTAAATTAAAAACACCTGTTATACTTGCATGTTCTGTGCAATGGTATTGCACAGAGCAACCCTGAACCTTTTCTTCTGGGGTTCCTCCTGACTCCTCCACTCCTGTTTGTGCTACCATGGGTCCTATGGTGGAACGAATGGCCTACACCCACAGGTCCTTAACCGTTTCAATACCGTTGCAATTTTACACCTTCCTGCCCAGGCCATTTTTCAGGTTTCAGCGCTCTCACACTTTGAATGACAATTGCGCAGTCATACAACATTGTACCCAAACTAAAATTTTATCATTTTCTTCACACAACTAGAGCTTTCTTTTGGTGGTATTTAATCACCGCTGGGGTTTTTTATTTTTTGCTAAATTAACAAAAAAAAGACCAAAAATTTTGAAAAAAAAACACATTTTTCTTTGTTTCTGTTATAAAAGTTTACAAATAAATAATTGTTCTTCATAAATTTAGGCCGAGATGTATTCTGCTACATGTCTTTGGTGAAAATAACCCAAATTAGGATGTATTATTTAGTTTGTAGGAAAGTTATAGAGTTCACAAAACTATGGTATAGATCTGAATATTGATCAATCCTGAAGTACTGACAGCCAATCTAATTTCTTGAGGTCCAAGAATGTCAGAATAGTACAGATATCCCCAAATGACCCCTTTTTGCTGAGTAGACAGTCGGACGTACTTCATAAGAGGCATGGCGAGTTTTTTGAAGTTGTATTTTTTTGTCATAATTTTTCCGAAAATGAAAAAATGAAAAATATTATTTTCACTATTTTTTTTTTTACATACTGTCACCAGTGCAGTACAGCGTCATCATATAACTGGCATGGCGGTGAACAGGGACACTGACTGGTGACAGTATGAAAAAAAAAAAAAAATTATATTTTTTTTTAATTTTTTTTTTATTTTTTTATTATATTTAATTTTTTATTACATTTTTTTTTTATTTTTTTTAAGATTTTTTTTCATATTTTACTATGACCAAAATAGTACAATGTTACCATAGTAACATTGTACTACTTTGGGGAAGTGATCAGTATTTTTTTTTTTTTTTTTTTTTTTTTTACACAATTTGCTTATAGCAAAGAATTACTTTGCTATAAGCAAGCATTTAGCTGAATGAAATCGATTCATTCAGCTTTTTTTTTTTTTTTTTTTTTTTTTGTGCTTAGCTGTGATTTGGTCACAGCTAATCACATGACATGTGCATGTGATTAGCTGTGACCATTCACAGCTAGGCACTAGTATACAATGGATGGCATCATGAATGAAGCCATCCATTGTATACAACTGTCATGTGACCTGCTGTGATTGGTCGCGGCAGGTCACATGGTACCGGCAACGGGAGCCGGTACTCGGATCTGTCATCGGCCGTGTCCGAGGTGCACGGGCGGTGACAGATCCCGCTGCTGCGCCGCTCTGCAATAGCGCAAACGGCGCATGTGCGGGAGCACGCCAAATGGCGTGGACCCGGAAAGCTGCAGCGCTTTTCAAGCCGCCAAACGGCTATTGGCCGGGCGGCTAATGGTTAAAGAATTGACATTTTAAAGCCCCTGTTTCTCATTTTTGGGACTCTTTAATGACTTGCATAGTACCACCTGATTGGCGTAAGGCCAATGTGGTGCCAATATTTAAAAAGGGGTCAAAATCTTTACCAAGTAATTATAGACCTGTTAGTTTAACTTCTATAGTTGGGAAGATACTGGAGAGTTTAATAAAAGAGCACAGATGAGTTCTTGCTGGAAAAAAATAATTTAAGCAATAGACAGTATGGATTCATGAAAGACAGAAGTTGTCAAAAAAATCTGATTTCTTTTTATGAGGAGATGAGCAAAATCTTGGACAGAGGGGTGGCTGTGGACGTGGTATACTTGGATTTTGCAAAAGCGTTTGACACAGTTCTCCACACATGGCTAATGTGTAAGGTAAAGTTTACAGGCTTGGAAAAATTGGTATGTAAATGGATTGAAAACTGGCTAAAAGATCGTATTCAAAGAGTAGTGGTTAATGATTCATACTCTGAATGGTCTAGGGTTGTCAGTGGTGTACCCCAAGGTTCAGTGTTAGGACCCTTACTTTTTTAATATATAGTTATAAACGATATTGGGTCTGGGATTATAAATACCATTTCAGCCTTTGCAGGTGACACCAAGCTGTGCAGTGGAATAACGTCCTTACAGAATATCTCCAATTTACAAGCCGACCTCAATGCACTGTTTAATTGGGCAACTATGTGGCAAATTAGGTTTAATGTTGATAAATGTAAGGTTATGGACTTGGGGGCTAAGAATATGCATGCATCATACATACTGGGGGGGGGGGGTACAACTGGGGGAATCAATGGTGGAGGAGGATCTGGGAGTTCTGGTAGATCACAAGCTTAATAATGGCATGCAATGCCAAGCTGCGGTTTCTAAAGCGAGCAAAATCCTCTCTTGTATTAAAAGAGGTATAAAGAGAGAGAGAGATCATTTTACACCTGTACAAATCATTAGCAAGACCTCATCTGGAATATGTAGTTCAGTTTTGGGCACCAATTCACAAAAAGAACATTGGGGAACTGGGGAAAGTACAGAGAAGGGCAACCAAACTGATAAGAGGCATGGAGGAGCTCAGCTATGAGGAAAGATTAGAGGAACTGAATGTATTCTCTCTTGAGAAGAGGAGATTAAGGGGGGATATGATCAACATGTATAAATACATCAGTGGTTCATATAGTGAACTCAGTGTAGAGTTATTCACACTGAGGTCAACACAGAGGACAAGGGGGCACGCTTTACATCTGGAGGAAAAGAAATGTAATATCCAAATATGGAAAGGTTTCTTCACAGTGAGAGCTGTGAAAATGTTGAATAGACTCCCTCAAGAGTTAGTTCTGGCCAGCTCAGTGGATTGCTTTAAAAAGGCCTGGATTCTTTCTTGAATACACATACAGTATAACTGGATACTAACATTTACAGGTAAAGTTGATCCAGGGAATATCTGATTGCATCAGGAAGGAATTTTTTTCCCCTGCAGGAGAAAATTGGATCATGCTTTGCTGGTTTTTTTTTACCTTCCTCAGGATAAACTGTGGGTGTAGGATTCTAACTTTCTTTTTTTTTAATAGTTGAACTGGGTGGACTTTTGTCTTTTTTCAGCCAGACTAACTATATATGTAACTATGTAAGTGCGGGCTCAATCCCAAGCTGTGCTGTTTGTCCATTGGCACACACACAGCGTGGCTTGGCCCTGCCCCCACTCCCTCCTCACATTGGATCCTGCTGTTCTCGCCTGTGATAGTGCGGAGAGAGGAGGAGAGAAGTCCTGCAGATGAGCACAGCACTGGGATTGATACAGGACTCGGATACGTATAAAGGTGGGTGAGGCGGGGAAGAAACAGGTACTGAAAGGTTTCTTACCTTAATGCAATGACTTAGAACCACTTTATTACCACATGCTTTTTTTTTCAGGGATTGTTGCTCTCAACATTTTACTAATGCTTTGTGTATCAGTACTGCAGGCTCTCGTAAAATGATTTGATTGTTTTTCATTTACTGCATGTTTCCCCATAAGCAGAACAGTGCTCACTGCCCTTGGTGTATGGCCACTTCCACAATATTTACATCCACTTATTACACTTCTGTTGATTCGTGCTCTCATGTTTGGCTTGTGCTCCTTTCTGGGCTGCGTTTGTGTTGTATAGTGTACAGTCTCCATCTCTGCCTTGCTATCTTACATTGTTTGTACTTGCTCTGTGAATTCCTTCCTTCTGCACAAGTCTATTTCTCTTTGTAGGTTCGACTCTTAGCATTCTTTCTTTTGCATTGATATCCTTTGATCGAGTAGATCGAGTAAGAGCTCAGGTAAGTAAGAGGAGGTGAGGGGGGATACTACTGCATCAACATTTTTTACTTTAATGCAAGGATTGCATTAAGGTAAAAAATGGTAAGCTTTATAGCCACTTTTTTAACCGCCTCCAACCCACCATATAAGGCAATGACGGGCACAAGGTGGTTCTCTCGTTCTGGGAGGACGTCATATGATGTGCGGCTCCGGGGGCGCGCAGCACGGCGATTGGTGGTGCGCTGTGTCCCTGAGACACAGCAGATCACTGATTAACGGAAAGAGACAAAGATGTCGGCTCGGTCATGTGATCAGCTGTGTCCAATCACAGCTGATCACATGTAAATAGGGAAATGCCGGATATTGGCATTTCTCTCCTCATGAGCTGTCACGCTGACAGCTTATGAGGAGTGGAGAGCCGGTAATCGGCATCCCTCAGAGGGGACATGTACACTGATCATCAGGGCACTGATAATCAGTGTGCCCTGATGATCAGTGTAGCCCCAGCAGTGCCATCTGTCAGTGTCCATCAATGCCAGCTGTCAGTGCCCATCAATGATACCTGCCAGTGCCCATCAGTGCCACATACCAGTGCCTACCAGTGCACATCAATGCCACATATCAATGCCCATCTGAGCTGCCTTTCAGTGTCACCTATTAGTGCCAGTCAGTGCCACCTATCAATGCCAGTCAGTGCCACCTATCAGTGCTGCCAATCAGTGCCACCTATCAGTGACAGTCAGTGCCGCCTATCAGTGCCAGCCAGTCACCTATCAGTGCCCGTCAGTGCTGCCTATCAGTGCCCGTCAGTGCTGCCTGTCAGTGTCAGTCAGTGCCACCTAACAGTGCCAGTCAGTGCCGCCTATCAGTGCCGCCTATCAGTGCCGCCTATCACTGCCATATATGAGTGCCATATATGAGTGCTGCCTTTCAGTGCCCATCAGTGCCATATATGAGTGCCATATATGAGTGCTGCCTTTCAGTGCCCATCAGTGATGCCTGTCAATGCCCATCAGTGCCACCTACCAGTGCCTCCTCATCAGTGCCACCTATCAGTGCCCATCAGTGCAGGCTATCAGTGTCCATCACTGATACACAAAAACTAAGAAAAAATTTTTTTTTTTTTCTCACAATTTTCAGTTGTTTTTGGTTTGTTTAGCAAAAAATAAAAAAAAAACCCAGAGGTGATGAAATAACCACCAAAAAAAAGCTCTGTCTTAAAAAAATTATAAAAATTTCATATGGGTACAGTGTTGCATGACCACACAATTGTCATTCAAAATGTGACAGAGCTGAAAGCTGAAAATTGGTCTGGGCAGGAAGGGGGTATATGTGCCCTGTAGGCAAGTGGTTAAAAAATTCAAAAAACAAAGAAACAGCAGCACAGGATCAGTGTATGGAGATCCACGAGGCAGTGTCAATGGTGTCGGCCATTAGCGGAGTTTGACAGCTGTCAAACTCACTCCCTCGATATGCCAGCTGAGGGATTCTAAATGGTCTTTTACCACACACGCTTGGAACTGCTTCTATGTTGTGATCTGCACCAGAGCTTTTTGTCTAAAATTTCCATGTGAGTGTACTATTTTATAGTTGTTCAGTAAAACTACAGTATATGTATTGCTGACGGAGATCCCGCATTTCTGTTCCTTTGTTTTTTCAAGCTGTTTCTGGATCTTCCCAGATCTATTGGTAGATGCAGAATCCTTTGGCATTTTTCATTATGATATTCGCTCCCCCCATCCCCAAATCTATTGGACATTGGAACTTGAAGGCTGGGACATGCAGTGCGCTATATGGGTTTGTGAATTGTTTTTTGTTTTAAAAAGTTTAGAAATTGAAAATTTTCCCCAAACTCCACTGAAGCCCAAGGTGACAAATCCTGAAAATTTATTTTTACAGCTAATAGTAAAGGGTTTGTCAAACAAAGGACATGGGGTACCAATGCAAAAAAAAAAAAACAATTTACAAAATACTGTATGGCAGAGTAACAAAGTGAACAGTCTATTTGCCTTTAGTAAATCAACCCCTATGTGTCAAACAGTTGGAATACAGGACGTCACTCTTTTCATTGTAATCCAAAAGTATGTAGAGTACATTTTATAGTTTTATTACTCTTGGGTCTGTGCAATCTGTATTTGTTACAGAGAGTTTCCTGCTGGGAGCTTTGGTACACACACCAGAGAGGGAGTCTGCATATACAATTCGAGTTTTTTTTTTTTTTGTTCAACCAAGGAGTTAAGTGAAGAAAACTCACACGTCCCCACAAGCAATGTGGAGGCAGGGATCTCTCCTGCTGTGCTATTGTATTTTGACAGTGGGGACTCCCTCCTCCCATCAGAATACACTGTTCAGTGCTGATCTAATGCTGGTTTTCCAGCAGGACCATTCAAAAGAAGCCAGTTATTAGATTGGCTTCTATTGAACGGAGAGGGGACACATGGATCAAAATTCAGCCAGTTCCTGCTGAACCAGCTAAATTTCGATACATTTATATAGCTTAAAAGAGGACGAGCAGCTGTGACCATGCCTGCAGTGTGATAGCAGATAGGTTCTAGCGCAGTAGTGGTTCTGGGTACTAGAGTAGTGGTTGCAGATGCCACACTTTAGTCACTGAGAGGGAAGTACCATGTGCTTTTAAAGTGATAACAATTGCTACAACTAGACTAATTTAGTGTTGGATTTTATGTTGTGATATTGGGCTACTATAGTATCAAACCCACTGCATTACTGGAAACTAGCTGATACTAAGTTCAAATTGTTGGATCCCAGCAAAAATTTACTTATTTGAATTAATATAACCTTAGTCATGAGGCAATATATTTTTGCTAAACTAGGTAAATTCATGAATAAAAAAAAAAAACTGTCAAGACACCATTGCATGTGGTGCTTTCCTCCTTATCCTGCTGTGAGCAGCACTGTATGTGCATTAGGGATGAGCAAATCTGTCAAGGAATAGCTGCAAATAGTAAAAGCTTTAAGAATTCAGCCACTCACCAATTTTTCTCTTTAGGGCTTTCCTTGTCCACTTGTATTGGACCATATGCAGTATTTTTGGTTGCTTATCTAAAATAAATCACACTTCAATATTTTGGATAATAAATTGGCTGAGGCCTTTATTATTGGTTTTAAGAATTTTATTGATTTTAATACTCTACATTCAGCCTCTTGGCTTGCACTTGCAGCACCACTGCTCTGGTCTTACAGGTTTCAAGCCCTTGTATTTTGAATCCTCACAATTCAGACTCACAGTTCCCTGCTGCACTGTCCTGTCTCCCAGGTATAGCCATTGTCAGGGCCACAAAAGAAAAAAAAATAGAGAAGTGGCCCCATGGGATTATCACCCTTATCACCCGTTTGTTTTTTTATATAATTCTTAATCTTAACCACTTTAGGACCACCCAGAGTAGATTTACTGCTACACTATATTTACTGTAAGCAGGATCACATATATATACGCGATTCTGCATTTCCGGGTAGGGGGCGAGCGAGACCTACCTGCGCCACCAATCGCGGCCCCGGGTATCAATCACCGCGATCACCGACAGGGAGGAGGACTGCATTGTTTACCAACAGCCCTCCTCCCTGTCAGTTTGGGCACACTGCTCGGGATGGCTGAGCAGAGCCATCCGATCAGTGTGCTTACAGTGAATCACACCCGCCCCCTAGTAAAACACTCCCAGCACACAGTTAACCCTTTGATTGCCCCTCATTGTTAACCCATTAGTGCCATTAGTACAGTGTCAGTGCTTTTTTTAAAGTGTCAGAAAAGGCTTGGTCTTCAGGTGGTTAGAAGAGTGAATGATGTGTGGCATAAACTTCTAATGCTGGGCATAAAATGCCCCCCACCCCCCAAAACAACCCCTTTTTGGAAAGTAGCACCCCAAACCTGCTCCTGTAGTGCTCCCCTCCGGCCGTTTATGTACATGGGCCGGACGGAAAGTGGTTAAATTATTTATTGCTCGCACCTGCCATGGGTATATGTGGAATTACTCCCCAAAATGCATTCTGCTACTTCTGCCAAGTATGGGGTTACCACATGTAAGAGATTCTTGGCAGTCTAGCCAAGTACAGGACCCCAAAATCCAATAAACACCTTCAGGCTTTTATAGGGCTTTATTTACTCATTACAATTCCTGACTACCTATCACAGTTTCGGAGGCCCTGAAATGCCAGGATAGTACAACCCCCCTTCCCCCAATGACCCCTTTTTGGAAAGTAGACACCCCAAGTAATTTGATAAGAAGCATGGTGAGTATTTTTCAAATCTCATTTGTTGCCACAAAAAAACATATATTTTTTTTATATTTCAAAACCTTGCAAGAAAAAATTAGATCTGCAAAATACTCACGATGCATCTTTTTAAATTCCTTGGGGTGTCTACTTTCCAAAAAGTGGTCATTTGGGGGGGTTTGGTGCAGGGGCAGACTGACAACTCATGGGGCCCCCGGGTAATAGGAGATTATGGGGCCCCTGTGTCCTTGCCCAAACTCAAAAAAGCCTTTGAAAAAGGTACCAGGGGCATCTCATGGGGCCCACTACTGACCCCGGGCCCTCGGGCAGTGCCCAAGTTTCCAAATGGTCAGTCCGTCCCTGGTTTGGCATTATCCTGGCATTTTAGGACCTCCAAAATTGTGATAGGTAGTGAGAAAGTGAAATGAGGAAGTTACGCCCCTTCAAGCTTTTAAAGTGGTCATTGGATTTCAGGCTCCTGTATCTGGATAGGCTCCCAAAAAGTCACACACATGTGGTATCCCCATACTCGGTAGAAGAAACAGAATGTATTTTGGGGTGTAATTCGACATATACCCATGGCTTGTGTGAGAAATATATAATTTAAATGACAACTTTGTGTTAAAAAAAAGTTTTTGGTATATAGCGCCAAAAATAAAAAGGGCAGAGGTGATCAAATACCAACAAAAGAAAGCTTTATTTGTGTGAAAAAAGGACGTAAATTTTATTTATGTACCCAATTGCATGACCACTCAATTGTCAGTTAAACTAGTGCAGCGCTGTATAGAAAAAAAGTGGTGTAAATTGCAGTATATATACCATAGTTTGTAGACGCTATAACATTCACACAAAGCAATCAATATACCAAAAACATGTAGCAGAATACATTTTGGTCAAAATTTATTAATAACTTTGAGTTTAATATATATTTATAGCCAAAAGTAAAAAATATAGTTTTTCTTCAAAATTTTGGGTCTTTTTTTGTTTATAGTGCAAAAAAATAAAAGGGGACACACATGATCAAATACCATAGACAAAAAGCTCTATTTTTGTGAAAAAAAGGACGTAAATTTTGCTTGGGTACAGCATTGCATGACCGCGCAATTGTCATTTGAAATAGTGCAGCGCCGAATAGCAAAAATAGGCCTGGTCATTAAGGGGGGTAAATGGCTGTTTTCCTGGTTCTTTCTGTTTTGTGTTTCAGACAAAAAGCTGGCTGCTGTTGCTAGTAAGATTTACCTGCTGCTGAGCACTGGATCTTTTGACCTGCTCTTCCCACCCTCCCTCCCCTTTGTTATTTTTTCCCCTCATCGCGGTCCACCTTTATGTGGGGTAATGTTGCCCAATTTGTGGGTGGACGGTGATTGGTAAACTGTTTTTTGGTTGTATAAGATATTGTTGCTTGAGTCTTAGTGTTGCATGTTGCATGTTGCATGTTGCATGTTGGTCTGTTAATGGTTATCAGTGGTTCTGTCTGGTGTTAAAGGTTAAAGTTCATTTCATAATTAAAATTGATTTAAACCCAATAAAGGGACCATGGCCTAAACTTTTCCACAATCTTTGTTGTGTGTTTATTTTATTATTTAGGTATGTTCTTATAGTATGATGGGTGTTAATGGGGTGGAGTTATCTCAATACCAAAGGCCTGGCTCACCTGCACAATCGATAGGTGCTGGTCACCATCAATGTATAGACGCAGCATCCCAGAAACCCTCATCCTGGTAAGAACCCTGCGTGACATCTAACCCTTATGACACAGTGATATGGCTTGGTCTTGTCACACACACAGTTACATAGTTAGTCTGGATGAAAAAAGACAAAAGTCCATCCAATTCAACCATAAAAAAAAAGGTATAATACTACACCCACAGTTGATCCAGGGGAAGGCAAAAACCCCAGCAAAGCATGATCCAATTTGCTCCTGCAGGGGAAAAACATTCCTTCCTGATCCCCCGAGAGGCAATCGGATATTCCTGGATCAACTTTACCTATAAATGTTAGTATCCAGTTTTATTCTGTGTATCCAATATACAATCCAGGCCCTTTTTTAAAGCAATCCACTGAGCTGGCCAGAACCAACTCTTAAGGGAGTCTATTCCACATTTTCAAGAGCCAGGTGCTCTGTAGTTTGTAGTCATATAAAACTCCTTATATGGAGGTGCCTTTAATAAAACACCACAGGGTAATATGATAAAACACCAGCCTGTGGCTTTAAAGACGCCAGATTCCCAGATGGATGGCCCGTCCCCTCAGAGGGGAACAGTGGAGATGAATGCCTGTCAGAGCAGGGACCACGTGGTCACGACATCCCGGGTGACGTCACCGCGATGTCACGCATGCGCACAAAAAATGTTGTCCCGGGAACTGGCCTCCTCCTCCTCCTAAGCTACGGCTCCAGCGTGGGTTCCTCCTCTCCGTCTCCTTGACGTCATGGCGGCATCACCGGGACACCGGGACGTCGCGACCATGTGGTCCCTGTTTGTTTGTTTTTTGTTTTTTTTATGGGTGCCTAGTTCAAGCTAAAAATCTCTAAATAATAAATGGGACTAATTATATAAATATGTGCAGTGTCACCCATGCAAAAACATCCACAACTAGGGTGTACAATATAGTAGATCATACATAAAAAAATACAAGACATAATAAAATCACCTGTTCTATATCTAAAACGAGTGAACAATGGATAGGACCTACATTTTTCCCAAATATATACCTTTCTTAGGTACCTACTTTTTAAATCAACTAGATTATCTATTAACATATTAACTTTTAATCAGAATATTACAACCAAGAGGAAAATGACAGGATCTCAGACTAAAAATCACTAATGAAACAATTTAAATCGAATTCTACATTAAGGCCTTTCGGAACCTGTGTTTGCATGAAAAAAATCCACTTTGATTCGGCTTGGCTCGGGGCATATCTGCCGCGAGGCAAAACAAGGCATCTGCCTTGGGCGGCACTTTTCAGGGGGGCGGCATCGCCCCCAGGCAGAAGGGACCAATGCCATCACTGCAAAGGGCTGTGCTTGGCCAGGGGGGCGTGCTTGTGTGTGCTAGAGCGGGGTATGTTCGGGCAGGCGGGTTCGTGTGTGCTCGGCAGTGGGATGGGTGAGGAGACAGAGAACCTGTCAGCCATGGAGCCGGCTGGAGAGGGAGACGGGTGGCACATAGAGGACCATGCATTTCTCGTTTGCTTTATGTGCCTCCCCTATCCATCTCCTGCATGAGATCAGCTCCTATATGCTCCCCCCACGGCCCCCCCCCTCCAGCACTGCTGCCAAGGGAACTGTCAGCATATGCAGTCCCCAGTGCTGACAGTCCCTCCCCCCCCCCCCCCACACAGACTCACACAGAAAGCTGCCTCTCCTCCTCCCACCCTCTCCTCCAGTGTCTGCCCCGCCCACACTTCCAGCCAGCCTTGTGTCTCCTTTCCTCTCTCTCTCTCCTCCTCTCTCTCCCTCTTCTCTCTCTCTCTCTCTCTTCCCTCTTCTCTCTCTCCCCCCTCTTCTCTACTCTCTCTCTCTCCTCTTCTCTCTCTCCCCTCTTCTCTCTCTCCCCCCTCTCCCCTTCCCCACTTCTCTCTCTCTCTTTTCCCCTCCCCCCTCTCTCTTCTCTCTCCCCCCTCTCCCCCTTCCCACTTCTCTCTCTCTTTCCCCCCTCTCTCTCTCTTCTTCTCTCTCTCCTCTTTTTCTCTCTCTTCTTCTCTCTCTCGCTTTCTCTCCTCTTCTCTCTCTCTCTCTCCTCTTCTCTCTCTCTCGCCCCCTCTCTCCCCTTCTTCTCTCTCTCTCCTCTTCTCTCCCTCTCCCCTTTTCTCTCTCTCTCTCTTCTTCTCTCTCTCTCCTCTTCTCTCTCTCTCTCCTCCCTCTTCTCTCTCTTGTTCCCGCTTCTCTCTTTCGCTTCCCTCTTCCCCCCCTCTCTTCCCCCCTTATCTCTCTCTTCCCTCTGCTTTCCCCCCCATTCTCTCTCTTTCCCCCCCTCTCTCTCCTTTCTTTCTCCCCCCCTCTCTCTCCTCTCTCCCCCCCTCTCTCCTCTCTTTCTCCACCCCTCTCTCATCTCTTTCTCCCCCCTCCTCACTTTCACCTCCCTCTCTTTCTCCCCCTCTCCCCCCCCTTCTCTCCTCTCTCCTCCCTCTCTCTCACACCCCCCTCTCTCTCTCTCCTCTCTCTCTCCTCTCCTCCTCTCCCCCCCTCTCTCTCTCTCCTATCTCTCCCCCTCTCTCTCTCACTCCCCCCTCTCTCCTTCTCTCTCCCCTCTTCTTTCTCTCTCCCCCTCTCTCTCCTCCCTCTTCTCTCTTCCCTCTCTCTCAATCCCTCTCCCCCTCTCTCTTTCCCCCCTCACTCCCCCCTCTCTCTCTTCCCCCCTCTCTCTCTTTCTCCCCCCTCTCTTTCTTTCTCTCTCCTCCTCCCCTCCCCCCCCTCCCCTCTCTTCCTCTCCTCTCTCTCTCCCCCCCATCTCTGTCCTCTCCCCCTCTCTCTCTCTCATTCTTCTCCCCCCGTCTCTCTCCTCTCTCTCTCCTCTCTCTCTTATCTCCCCCCCTCTCTCTCTCCCCCTCTCTCTCCTCTCTTTTTTCTTTCCCCCCTCCCCCCCTCTCTCTCTCTCTTCCCCCCCTCCTCTCTCTCTCCTCTCTTCCCCCCTCTCCCTCCTCTCTTTCTCCCCACCTCTCTCTCCTCTCCCCCCCCTCTCCTCTCTTCTCCCCCCTCTCTCTCTCTCCTCTCCCCTCCCCCCTCTCTCTGTCCTCTCCCCCCTCTCTCTCATTCCTTTCCCCCCTCTCTCCTCCTCTCCTCCCTCTCTCTGTCCTCTCCCCCTCTCTCTTTCATTCCTCCCCCCTCTCTCTCCTCTCCCCCCCTCTCTCTCTCTTTCTCCTCCTCCTCTCTCCTCCTCCCCCCCCCCCCCCCCACCCTCTCCTCTCTTTTCCCCCCTCTCTCTCCTCTCTTTCTTCCTCCCTCTCTCTCCTCTCTTTCTCCTCCCTCTCTCCCTCTCTTTTCCCCCCCTCCTCCTCTCTTTCTCCCCCTCCTCTCTTTTCTTTCTTCCCCCTCTCTCTCCTCTCTTTCTCCCCCCTCTCCTCTCTTTCTCCCCCCTCTCCTCTCTTCCCCCCCTCTCCCCTCTCTTTCTCCCCCTCTCTCCTCTCTTTCTCCCCCCTCTTTCTCTCCCTCTCTCTCCCTCCTCTCTTCCCCCCTCTCTCTCCTCTCTTCCCCCCCCCTCTCTCTCTCCTCTCTTCCCCCCCTCTCTCTCCTCTCTTTCTCCCCCCCTCCTCTCTTTCTCCTCCCTCTCTCCTCTCTTTCTCCCCCCTCTCTCTCCTCTCTTTCTCCCCCTCTCTTTCTCTCCTCTCCCCTCTCTCTCCTGCCCCCCCCCCTCTCTCTGTCCTCTCTCCCCTTCTCTCTCATTCCTTCCCCCCTCTCTCTCTCTCCCCCCTCTCTCTCTCTCCTCTCTCCCCTCTCCTCTCTCC